TTTACTCAAACTTTAATAGCCCTTTGATCTTTAAACAAGAAAACATTTGTGCTAGTCACCAAGAGTCTGCTTTATGCATGCCAGACAAGTGAAGGACACGACACCCCCTCCTGAGTGTCACCACAAATGCCTCATCACAGTGGGGTTAGCTAGACCCGTGCTGGAAACTTTTCTTTGGCATTGATTCTTCATATTGCAAATGAAGAGCTGAATTGAGAAAGCCAAGCTGTTTTGAAGCTCTAGACAACTCAAGTCTTGGGGCAGCAAGATGGCCCGGTGGGTAGAAGTGCCTGCTGTGGGAGCCTGACGACCTGAGCTCAACCCCAGACTCATGTGAGAGAGGCAGATGTGGCGGTCCACATCTGTTAATTCCAGTACTCCTATGGAGGATATGGAAGGCAGCCATAGCGGGCTAGCTCAAAAGCTTGAGGACTGGCTTAGCCTCCAATACTCAGCAGGGCAGAAACAAAGACGCTGCCTCACAAACAAGGTGAAAGATAGCCTACCCTCCTGAAAGCTGTCTTCTGACCACCATACCATGGCGCATGCACCCAAATTCTCAAATGTGTGCACACTCTTGCGTGCTTACTCTCATAAGCCCCCTTCTCCCCCCTCCCCACAATAATAAATGCTTTTTAAAAACTAGTAATTAGCTCTTGGTTGAGAGAGTTCACAGACAATAGTTTCTGAACAGGAGAGAAGACATTCTAGTAACTGACTGGATAGAAAAGTACACATTCACTCAGGTTAAATTTCAAACACAGCCAAGCCAGGTGTGGTGGCACACATCTTTAATCCCAGCACTTGGGAAGCAGATGCAGGTGGATCTCTCTGAGTTTGAGGCCAAGCCTGGTCTACAGAGTGAGTTCCAGGACAGCTAAGGCTACACAGAGAATCCCTGTCTTGTAAAAAAAACAGAAACACAAAAAGCCCTTAACACAGTCAATGTACTAAACATAAAGTTCAGCTCAATAACAGCAGCATGGTAACTCACTCATTTCTGTAAACTCCATTTAAAGACCTTTGATTTTGAAGTACTCAGTAGTTCAGAACCTTAATGTTTTAAATAAACACAAGCCTTTAACATAGGTTAACATAAGCTAAGGCATTTTGTTGGAATTTTAGAGGTGTACAAACTTAAAAACAGTAGTATAGATATCTAGTAGAAAGAACAGTGAGAGGAGAGGAGCTGGGGAGTGAGGGTGAAATAATGCTAATGGGTGTCTGTTGAGGCTGCTCTAACAATACATAGATTGCTGGCTCAAGACAACTTGAAATCAGGAATTCCTGAGTTCTGGAGGAACTTCTTGGGAAGTTCAAGATCAAGGTACTAGGAGACTTGGTGTCTGATGTGGACACACTATCCAATTAGACACTAGCTTGCTATATCTTCCTGTGATGGGAGGGATATGGCTTTACAAAGGACTAGACAACTTAGAGGATCTCTGCCCTTGTGATCTGATGACCTGCCATGGGCCTCACCTTTTAAGCTAGCACGGTGACACTGTGGGTTCAATACTGAATAGAATTCCTGGAGGGACATGCACAGTCTAAGCCCCAAATACCACAAAGGGTGGATACAAGAAGGTAATGGGGTAAATGTACAATACATTATAGATGTATATGCAATCATCAATGAATGAATATTTTAAAGCCTTTTGTACCAGCTGGTTTTGTGTGTCAACTTGATAAACATTAGAATCATCAGGGAGGAAGGAGCTTCAGTTGAGAAAATGCCTCCATGAGATCCAGCTGTAAGGTATTTTCTCATTTAGTGACCAATGGGGGAGGGCCCAGCCCATGGTGGGTGGTACCATCCTTGGTCCTGGCTTCTCTAAGGAGGTGAGCTGAGCAAGCCAGTAAGCAGCAACCCTCTGTGGCCTCTGCATCAGCTCCTGCCCTGTTTGAGTTCCTGTCCTGACTTCCTTCTGTGATGAACAGCAATGCTGAAGTGTAAGCCAAATAAACCCTTTCCTCCCCAACTTGCTTTTCGGTCATGGTGTTTTGTCACAGCAATAGAAACCCTAACTAAGACAGAAATTGGTACCAGCACAGTGGGGTAGTGCTGTGACAGACCTGACCATGTTCTGGGAAGACTGCGGAAGGACTTTGGAACTTCGGGCCAGAAGAGCCATCGAGTGTTAAGAACTCTGTGGGATGTTCTGTGGAACTTAGAAGATAAGAATGTTGAGATCAGTGCAGAAGATGGAGGCCTGGCTTGTGACATTTCAGAGGGAAGATTAAAGACTCTACCAGAACTGTTTGCTATTTTGAATTAAGATCCTGTGGGTCTGGTTAGGTGGGGCTGAAGAAGCAACTGTGATTAACAAGATACCAGTACTACTAAAGGAAAATTTTACTTTGCTTGAGTACTTGATGCTGGTCGGCTGGAGCTAAGAAATTAGCAGTGATTAACAGAGACCAGCATCACGGAGGTGAAATCTGGGAAGTGTTTCCTGAAAGCACAGGGAAACTGTGTTCCAGAGGTGGCCAAGGTTGTACCTTGTGCTGGCAGCTGGACTTGGTAATATGTGTTACCCAGGTGGTACTGGGTTTGAAGGCATGAAGGGGTCATGGAGAGCAGCTCAGGCTTAGCACTGTGAGAGGTCAGGAAGGGCCACTGGAGAAGGTACAGCCTCACTGGCAGTTAAAGGCCCAGGACTGAAGGGGTCATGAAAAGAAGTTGAGTCTTGGCACCATGAAGAAAGCCTTGATGAAAGTGCAGCCCAGTTGCAGCAAGGAACTCCAGCATTTTGGAGATGCCAGTACCATAGCATGACCACCAAGAACAGCAGCAGCAGTGGAGTGGAGCCAGCTAAAGCCTAGAAGACAGGCCATATGTGCTGCAAAGGGCAGAGCCAGAGAAGTGACCTTTGCAGGAGTCCAGAAGATCATTAGTGAATCCCAGATAATTGGACATTGAGTTATTTATACTGTTGGAGTTTGGTTTTGCTTCGTTCAGATTGTGACAGTGCCCTGGTTCTTCCCTCTTGAAGAAGGTATTTAATTTTAATTTTTAAAGGAGCCCACAGCTGAAAGACCTGAACTTTTTAAAAGAGTGGCTATTTTAAAGGGACTGAAATTTTAATGTTTGAATTTGTAAAGACTGTGGGACTTTTAAAATTAAGATCTTGGGGATGAATAAGAAAGGAAGGGTTGTGGCTTAATAGTGATGGGTTTGTGTGTCAACTTGACACAAGCTAGAGTCACCAGAGGAAGGAGCTTCAGTAGAGGAAATGCCTTCATGAGATCCAGCTGTATGGCAGTTTCTCATTTAGTGATCAATGGGAGAGGGCCCAGCCCATGGTGGGTGGTACCATCCCTGGGCTGGTGGTCCTAGTTTCCATAAGATGGGCTGAGCAAGTTTTGGGAAGCAAGCCAGTAAGCAGCTCCCCTCTATGGCCTCTGCATCAACTCCAGCCTCCGGGATTCTGCCTTGATTGAGGTCCTTTCCTGGCTTCCTTCAGTGATGAACAGCAATATGGATGTGTAAGCCTTTCCTCCCCAACTTCCTTTTTGGTCATGGTGTTTTGTTGCAGCAATAGAAACCCTAAGATACCTTTTATTTCACTTAGGTCATCTGGCGCAATGAGAAGGAACTACAGTGCTGACACTAATTCCACACTGATAACCTCATAACAGGGTTAGAGGTGGCCTTCCTCTTTGTGGAGCTCAGGAGTAGAATGCTTGCCTGGCATGTATAGGGTTTGATCCCCAGGACTACAGATAAAGAATGCTCCTTATTTAATCGTTTATCTTGTTTGAATAATGCATATAAACTGCCAGTTACTTACATTCTAAAACCAAAACTTGATTTTTCTTAAAAAGGAAACAAATAATATAAAAAAAAAAACCCTGGTAATGCTGTTAATAATAATACCCATTATGCATAAAGAGGGCTCAGGGTCAAAAGCCTGCTTCAAATGTAAGTACACACTGGATACTATGCAAGCATTAAGACCATTCTAAGATATTCACAGTAAAAAAAATGAAAAAGCATGAGGCCATATACATTTCACTTTAAAAATAAACATATATGCACATATATGTACACACACACACACACACACACACACACACACACACACACACACACACACACACACACGGTAGAAAATAAGTCTGAAAGAATACATACCAAAATCTGAACAGTAGAAAGTGATTTTCTGTCCTGGAACTAGATTTGTAGACCAGGGTGCACACCACCACACCCAGAAAACACTGTCACTTTCAAGTCAGAAAAATAATGAAAGCATACCATTTTATCTAGAAAAACAATGTCCACAGAAACTGAAAGTAATACTTAACTCTCCTGAAAGTAACGTTCATTCTGTCAACAATCACATGGAAAGGCAGACACTAGTACATGTATCCCACCAATACACACTGTGACTTCAATACACTGTGGCCTTGTATTTTTGAAAATAATTCTGTAAAATTTAGAAAATCCCTCAGGATAAAAAAAAAAAAAAGTTCAGCCAGGCATGGTGGTAGTACATGCCTTCAATCTCAGCACTCAGGAGGCAGAGGCAGGTGATCTCTGACTTCAAGGCCAGCTTGGTCTACAGAGTGAGTTCCAGGTCAGCCAGGGCTACACAGAGAAACCCCGTCTTGAAAAACAAAAAATTCACCCTATCCTAATTTACTATGGGAAATTCTACACATTTGCTTAAATTGAGATTTATTCTCCAGAGAAGTCACCCCATACTTTGTTTGACATAATCAAAGGTCTATGGCTAGTTACTGACAATGAAATTTTATAATTCATATAGCCAACATTTTCTACCTATTTATTACAGGTGAAATGTATTCAAGACTATACATGTGCGTGTGTGGGGGTGGGTGTGTCTCTTGAGACAGGGTCTCATTTATCTCAAACTTGCTATATAGTTGTAGATGACCTTGAATGACTTTCCTGCCTCCATCCCCTGAGTGCTGGGATTACAGGCATAAATGGTGCAGTGCCTACATATTTTTAAGAAATGATTGACAAGAACCACTGCAGATAGAAACAGCTTTATTTTTTTCATTTTGGGCTTTTTTAGAAGAGCAAAAATATTGAATGCAATCACACTTACTTTGTCTTATAGTCATTGGTTTCCTTAGGAAAGAAACACACATTTGAATAACTTGTAATTCAAACATTTCAAGTTCCCACTTCATTTCCTTCTAAGTCAGCCACAGTAAAATCATTTCGGGTAAGTGATCGTATTCTTTCACCTTTATTCGTACTGAAATACAATATTTATAAACCAAACTATCTGCTGTTCAGAAAGCTGGAAAGGTTCTTTTACATAATAATTTTGATATGCTGAGAAACCACACAAAACTGGCATTTGTAAATGGATAAAAATAGGATAGACTGCTTGAAAGAAAACATAAACAATAATTTCTTTTATCTAAATAATTTCAATTGAGTGAATATATTCATCTGATAATATAGCCTCTATCTTAGAATATAAAAGTGCTCAGATTATCTGTAATAAAAATAACAAAAGTCTCAGAGAACTGAAAATAATTTAAATAAAGACAGTACACTGAGAATCAAAATAATGTCTGTGCTGTCAGGCATGGAGGGAGGGTGACTACCTGAACTCAGAAGGGGACTAAAGCAAGGAGATGGAACATGCATAGCTTCTTGCCTGGAGAAGATAGAAAAGTCTCTGAAAAAGCTCCATGTGTCTTTGTTTAGATGAAAGCCACTGACACAGACTCCGTATCTCAGACAGACTTTTGCACAACGCAAAGTTGGGATACCTGCCTTGACTGCCCTATACCAGCTGTACCGCACACTCGAGAGCTCAAAACATAAGCACGCATCCTTTTAACCTCATGTGTGGACACTGGCTGTCATCCTCAGGAATGCAGTTTACCTCCTTTTAGATGGGGTCTCTCAGTGGCTTGATGCTTGCTCAGTAGGCTGGTGGACCTGAGGGATGCTCCTCTGATGTCCCAGTGCTGGGATTTTAAGCACACACACACTACCAGACACAGAATTTTTACATGAGTTCTACAGACCTGAACTCAGGTCCTTAAGCTTTGCCAGGCAAACACTGAACTGAGCTATCTCCTCAGCCCCACCCAAGTACACATCTTTGACAATATACAGACTCCTAAGATTCATACTATTAAAAAAAAATAAATAAATTGGAGTATGTGTGTGTGTGTGTGTGGGGGGGGAGAACATAGCAACTGAGCTGAAGAATTTTCATGCCCCAGTTGCTCTGAAGTGTCACTGGGGCCACCCTGGGGTGGCTCATCAGTGTAGAAACAGGGACAATGAACTACTTCCCTCTAAACTCTTCAGGAGGAACTCAGAACTGGGATAAGATATTGGGCTGAAATTCTCTTCCCACCTTTCAGTACCATGGATATACCACTCACAAAGAAACGTGGGATGCAGTGTGCCTGGCTACCCAGTGCCAAGGGCATATATACTGACCCACTCTACTTAATAATACTGAGACTACCTATCACATTTTCTACAATCTTCAATCTCATATATATTCACAAGTTGCCATTGAGGGCAACTGAACAGCAAGGAGTGATTTTATTTGGGGCAAACTAGTGCTGTGTGGGTTTATACAATGTTCCTCTAGCTTGGTAGGATTTCAGATGCCTTTTAATTTTTAGCATTTTAGTTGCTTAATATGGAATAATTTTTATAAAAAGAAAAAAAGTAACACTACCCTCACTGTAGGACAGTTCCAAGTTGGCTCTCTTAAACGTCCTCAGGAGACTATTTCATAGGTCACAAATCCAGAAGAATGTAAGATCTTGGCAATCAGAGAATGGCTTTCTTCTGACGCTATCCCTGATAGCAAAAAACATGTCATACAACAGTTCACCACCACCACCAACACCCCACACACACGTTATAAAGAGTTTACATGGATGTTGGAATTTTTAAATCTTTTATCATCCCTTTATTCTAACTAGCTAAAGATTACTATTTAATGTTTTACTTAAGTTCAGTGTATTTGGGGTAAAAGTTTAAAATGAGTATTGGGATTCAAACTACAAGTGTTACAATATGGCTTTAAGAAAATCAATAAAAGAAAGAAAAATGGGGCTAAAAAGACTAGGTAGCCAAGCAAGTAGGAGCAGAAGGGACCAGCTACAGATAAGTACAAACAAAGAGCTAATATGTTCCTCCAGCTTCCAACACACTCAGGGGAGCCTCCCCTCACCATGTCTGATGTGTCTCTTTAACCAGCCGGCTACCCACCACCTAACAGGCAAAAAGGCCCAACCGTACAAGAGTGAAAGTGGCTAGCCTCCAGGTTCAAGTCCCATGGCAGTGCCCATTCTCTGACACACATGCCATAGGCCCCACCAGCTCCACTATGGCTTGTGCGTAGCTACAGGACTAACCCCTTCTATCACTAACCACAGAAAAGTGTCCTGAGTTCCAGGGAATGGAAAGTAGGTACCTATTTTCTTTGGATAAGCCTCAGATCAAGCAGGAGTTACTATGTTTCTTTAAAATGTTGTTTCTTAGATTTGTAGAAATAGCACAAACACCACTAAGGTCATTGCATATTTTATCATCCTCTGGTGCACAAGGGAACACTAGCAACAGGGAAACTATTATGCCAACACAAAAGACATAGCAGGACCATCATGGACATACACCCAATGTGAATACCAGATCTTTGCAATGTTTACATTTCCTTTTCAGGTTGTTTATTAATGACACACTGTAACACTGGCAGAATTTAATATCGAATAGGGTAACAGAGTTTTGGTTTGTGGGGAAGACATATTTCCTAGTGATGGAAGTGCTCTTCACTTTTGGCCCCACCTAAATTTCCCAGCATGAGCTAACATCTTGCGTGGGTCTAAGTAAATGGTTCTCAACCTTCCTAATTCTGCCTACCTGTAATACAGTTCTTCATGTTGTGGTGACCTCCAACCATAAAATTATTTCATTGTTATTTATAACTGTAATTTTGCTACCATTATGAATTACAATGTAAATATCCAATATACAACCCCTGTAGGGTTCGAGACTCACAGGTTGAGAACCACTGGTCTAAGTAAACTGTCTCTGTGTTAGAATTCCAAGACAAAAACAGCAACGTGAGGAAATTACTTAGATTCACTTCTTCACTTTTCTCCCTAAAGTATTTACTGGAGACATTTAGCACACCTTGCTCCAGAAGGAAACTTCAAAAGGACAAGTCCCGATTAAGGGGCTAGATCATCATGTATTTTAAAATCTTTATATTAATCACAAGATTCTCATAAATACAACTCCACAAAATACTTTTTAAAAGCTCTAAGAATGTACTTGGTGAGTGGCTGCAGGAGCTGAGACACGGCGGGACTGTGACAAGAGTGCCCAGGCTGGTGCTGGGCTGTGGTGCAGCTCTTCACTGTCTGAACAGCAGCATCCTCTCCGAGCACTTCTGCCCCACAAGGTTTGCATACTCTAGCACAGCGGCCTCCTCACTCGGGTCTTCTTGGTGGTTTTTATAAACACCGTAAGGCATAGCCGCTCGCCTGTGAAATACTCGTACTCGGTCAAGGTCCTTACAGCGTCCTTCATCCACTGCAAAGAAACAAATATGGATCAAAGACTGCCATATATCAAAGATGTGTGCAACCAAAGTATGTAATCTGAAACATACATGATGGACTAGCAGGTCTTCTTTGTGCAATACGTTCATGAGCATGTTCCTAAGAATAAACAGGAAGTTCCTTAATGAAAGGCAATAAGAATTCCCTAGTATGATAAGCAAAACAAAGTAGAGTCAAAGACTTCACATTCAACTGAAAACTACTGGCCATACTATACCTTTCTGATTTTCAGAAGTGCAGTGGCATCTACAATGTTTCTGAATCTTTCCAGAGTCCCTATCAACTCTCCAGTGCCTCTCCAGCTAACATGCTGCCTGAGGCTTTGGCTCTGCGTGGAAACTTAGAGCCAACAGAGCAGCACAGGGAGGCCTGGCTCCTGTTCTTTATGGATGGCAGATTCTCACAGCTTCCGTGGAAGACACAGCACAGGGTGCTGGGGCTGCTGCTACTAGGCTTTCCTGGCTTCCACATACAGGAGCTCATGGCTTGTATCAAGGTATGCAACCACCTAGGAGAACACCTGTGTCTCTGCCTTCCCTGAAGCTGGGTGTGGCCTCATGACTCAGTTCTGGTCAGCACAAGTCGTGTTTCGTGAGACTGCAAGAGCCTTTCAGAGAGAACAAGTTCATCTGTACCCCTCTCTTCAGGTTATAGCCTGTACATGGACCAATGTAAGGGCAGGAGCTTACCTTTGGTTTAGTGACAACAAAAGATTCCAAGTGGACAGCCTCTGACTTCATGGAACAAACGGTCAAGCCAGCCCGGGGCTGTCATGTTTGGATATCTCCATAAAATAATGTTTGAGCTGACATTATTCTAGATCCCTATTACTGGAATCATTGCTAGTTATAATCCAGAGAATGGTGTTACATTATATCCATTGACATGTACATAATTTAAACCACTGAACCAGGACACCTATAGCCTGACTTCACACTGGGTTCACCAGAGAAAGCTTTTAGGAGTCCCCAAACATCTTGGAATCCTTCTGTAGAAATCCCAAGTGAAAATTGGTCTGAATGAACCTTGAACACCAGGATTTTCTTAAGTATGTAAGTCCTAAGAGCAGGACAACAACTGGAGAAACGCTTTTGTGTACATGTGCTCAGAGCAGTGTCTGGAAATAACACACCTAATCATCTACCTGCGAGGCACGTGTTAAAGACACAATATTGCAGCAGTCACAGGAGAGAAAGAAGGCGAAGAACAGCCAACTAACTGTTCTTTCAGCTGAAAGCCCAATGCAGGTAGTGAGCCCCTGACTCAAAACACTTGGGATGAACTGAGTGTAGTGGGGTACACCTGTGATTCTGGCACTTGGGAGTTAGAGGCAGGAAGATCATAAAGCTCAAGGCCACCCTGGCTACATAGAGAGTTCTAAGCCAGTCTAAGCTACTAAGCCAAGACAATCCCCCACCCCACCCCCAAAAAACCCAAAAACCAAAACAATGCAACCCAACCAAAGAAAATGGCTTCTGATAGTAAATTCTGAAATATCTGTATACTTGTAAAGAGACCCAGGAAAGGAGCCCAGGCCAAAGCGTGAACTCACTATGTTTTCTATACACCCAAAACAGACCCAGAACATCTTAAATGTACACACGGCTCTGATCTACCACATAAGGCCAGGGATGGAGTTTGTAACTAAGCCACCAACATCTCAAGTTTCTTCTTTCTCAGAAGTTGTTGCTCTAAAGCAGCATCAAACTTAGGAGAAGTCATTGTAGATCAGTTTCAGGAGAGAAAAGAACAATATTCCTCAGATGCCAGAAACAGAGGGAGTACCAATATATTGTATCCAAATCCGCCCATGAGAGAGGGAGCCTGTCCAATCTCAGACGCCAGGCCTGCCTATAGGTCTGGAGTAGAGCATTTGTTCTGTTGGGCTGCATGGCCTATGGTTTATGGTCATCCTCAAGGAAGGCACAATTATTAATTTTTTTTAGAAAAGATTTATTTATGTTTTGCCTGAATGTATGTATGTGTACCACCTGTGTCCCTGATGCCTGCAGAAGCCAGAAGACGGTGGAAAATCTCCAGGATCTGGAGGTACGGACGGTTGTAAGCCATCATGGGAATGCTGGGACTCAAACTGGAGTGCTCTGCAAGAGCAACAAATATTTTTAACCGCTGACTCATCTCTCCAGCCCCAGACTTATTCTTAGTCCATCCTATATAGTTAACACTAAAACCTATTTAAATCTAAATAATAACAAAATCCTACTTAAGATACTTCTAACACTAAAAATAAACTTCTTTACCCAAAGGGGAAGAATGTATCTTAAATTCTTAAAAAAAAAATCCTCTTATAATAGTTGCTGGGTAGATATAACATCAGTGTTTACAGACAAAAATCTACAGCCCTAAAACAACAGGCATAAGGGCCTTTCCTTAATGCACTCGAAGACCAAGGAACTGCCATTTGATATGAAAGATGGTTGTCGCTGCATCGAAGAAAAGCTGCCAGCTTGCTGCAACGTTGTAGGAATATGTTCCAACAAGAACTTCATGATCAGGTACTACTTGCCAAAGAGGAATTATGCCCTGTTAGAGAAGACCTTACTTTTTTTTATTAGAAACAGTGTAGAAGAGTCATTTATCATAAGAGCAGGTATTAATGGATTTTGGCATCATCTCCTCTTAGATAGTAATACAACCAGGCATCTGAAATCCCAGAAGCTTGTGGGTTTTTTTTTCTTTTCTGTTTTGGTGGTGCTGAGGATTGAACTCAGGGTCTTGTACAGGCTAAGCAAGTGCTGTACCAGCCTGTTATGATTATTTAATATTGCAAATAACATGGTACCGATTCTATCACTGGCTCACCAGATTAGGCTGAGGCATAATACAAATATTTATCAATATATTAATTTTCTGAAATAAAAATTAGTTTAATAGTCCCACTATTACACTCTGACTATTAAAAAAGGCACTGTAACAAGTGGAGAACAAGCCTGCATCTATCAAAGGTCAGCCTACTTCTCTTCACACCTTTTGACTTCACTAAGTTACTGCTCACCACACCTAATACACTGGCTTCTCACAGTTTTTCCAACCCTCAAGTCCCAGCTAAGATAACACAATTCAGCAGTCATATCAATGTAAACTTAACTGGTAATTCTCTTGGAAGTAATTTTATTTATTTAACCAAGAAGGCATATTATTAAGCTACTAATAACTAAACAAATGACAAAATTTAGCTTTCTATTTTTAAAGCAGCCCATCTTTTCCTTTAAAACTCTTAAGTTGGGCTCAGCTGTTAAAAGTACTTGCTGCTCTTGCAGAAGACCAGGGCTTGGTTCCCAGAACCTGCACAGTAGTTCAAACCATCTGTAGCTCCAGTTTGAGGAAATCTAATGCCTTCTCTTCACAAGCATCTACACAGTGTGCACATGCATATATGTATGTGTGTATATATACACACACACACACACACACACACACACACAAAATAAACAAATCATTTAAGATCTTAATTACAATTCAGACTTAGAATATAAACAGAATTCTGCCCAAACAAAGAAGCTAAAGATAATGTAAAACCTCCAGTATTTGGAAAGAAAGAAACACAGATCAATTAAGATACATAATAACAGACACAAAGAAAAGATGGAATTATATATTCTTTTTAAAAACACACTATTTAAAAAACAGAATTATCAAGCTACTCAGCAATTCATTTTTTATGAATTAATAAATATCCTATAGTAGTCACACTGTTTTTAAAACAATAAAAGTAACCTCTGTTGTCAAACTCAGATATTACAGAAACAAAGTGGAAATGGCAGTCCACATATATAATCCTGTGCCTACACTTTGTCCCTTTTTCTTCTCAAACTCCAATACCAGTTCCCAGTGTCTGATTCATCAAATGCATTTAAGTATTCAAAGATGGGAGTTTTGGATCACATTACTACCATGCTTTAAGACAGAAAATAGAATCAAATCACCCCAGAAGTGGGCAGAGTGCATGAACCTCGGAAAGCCCTGTCGATCATCGCAGATGCAGACATGGTCATTCTGCTGCTGGGCTGCACGACCTGTGGCTTATGATCATCTAGTCATATTCTCAAGGAAAGGACATTTACTCTTAGTACATCTCACACAGTTAAGACTAAAAGTAATTTAAACATAAACCAAAAAATCCTGTAAGATACTTAAAAAACTAAAAATTATGATTTAGTTAGCAGGGAGGAAAATGAAGCTCAAATTCTTACAAAACCCCTTTAGCATCATCTTATAAACATGACATCAGTGCTCACAGACAAATCTACAGTGCTAAAACAACAGGCATAAAGGCCTTTCCTTGATGGGACTTGAAGAGACCCAGGAACAAGCTATTTTGATATGAAGATGTTGTCATGGCAGCCAAGGAAAGCTGCCAGCTTCCTATGATACAAGAACTACTTCTCCTTTCTCAAAGCTATATCATAGCTTAATTTCATAAAATAAAAACACAAAGAGTCTTGCCAGTTCTTGGGGATGAGCATTTGATCACTAATGACTCAAATGTGCTGCCAGCCCTATGATATTTTAATGAAGGAAAACTCTGCTGCAGGGGGATTGCTTGATCGCTCACTCCACGTAACTGTTCACTCATAGGAGCTGAACTGTTAAACAGGTGCTTTCAAAGCAAGAGAAGCTAGAGATCAAAACTACTTCTTAAGGGGTCTTAGCTTATTTGTTGTTCTCAGAGACTTAAGAAATTTCTAGGCTTTTCTTTTTTGTTTTGTTTTTTGAGACAGGGTTTCTCTGTGTGGCCCTGGCTGTCCTGGAACTCTCTCTGTAGACCAGGCTGGCCTCAAACTCACTGAGATCCGCCTGCCTCTGCCTCCTGAGTGTTGGGATAAAGGTGTGCACTGCCACCACCACCCAGCTTTCTTTTTTTCCTAGGCTTTTCTAAAAATGATTCAAGAGTCTATTTGCATATCTTTGTAATTTATTGTTACAGAAATATTACATAAAATGAAAACAAGTACTTTGTAGTTTTTAAAGAATACAGGTATATACAGCAAATAAACTGATATAAGAACTGAAATGCTGAGCAGCAAATGTGCAACAGGGGATGTGATGTTAGTGTTAATGGTCACCCTGACCATTAACCAACTGGAAGAAGGGTACCTGGGCATGCCTGTGGGGGGTTATCTTGACCTTATTAATTGGGTTGAGTGGTACCACTCTGGCTGAGATCCTCAACTGTGTAAGTGGAGAAAAGCAGCTGAGCAGCAGCAGGCATTCATCATTCTCCCATTCCTGACTGTGGATGTGATATGGCCAGCTTCTTTTAAGCTCCTGCTGCCTCGACCTCCCCACTATGATATAAACCCTTGAAATGTGATCCAGAATAAATCCTTCTACACTAAACCCTTTCGTTGGTTTTGTCAGGGTATTTTATCACAACAGATACACTAAAGGGAGATATATATATATGTAATCAATACTCAACTCGGAAGATTCAATGTGATAGGAGGTAGGAACAGTATTTCCGCCTCTACAGGAAAAGGAACCCAAGAAGGGAAGCTGTTCAGCACAGGCAGCTAAGCAGCAGGGGAAATCAGCACAGTGTCCCCTCCAATCCAGTCGGCTCCTGTCCCCTTCTTCAAGCTCATGTGGGGAGGTCAAAATTTGCTTTGGAAATCCATCATGGAGAACATTAATATACTTATATATTCTATAAGAAAATATCATTAGCAACTACAACTATTTTTTTATTAAAAAGTGAAAACTAAGACAAATCTAAACAGCCTTTTTTTTGCAACTTAGCATTTTTGTAACTTATCATTGAATATAGCTTTATGAAATACAACCTGAAGAGGCCTAGCTTAACATTAGACTAACAATACTGGGACTAGACCTCACCATTACAATAACGAGGGAAAGTCACAAACTGTACCTTGCAGGGGACCAATCAGATCGAGACAAGTACTAAATGCTCTAGAACATTAAGGGTAGCTTACATAATCCATATATATAGGTTGCCAATTTCCTTGAAGCAACACCAGTACCAATCACTGTTTGACAAAACTTCTGTTACCTCATTCCTGCCCAATCCCATCAGTTTAACCCCCATCTTAATATGGAATTCCCCTTCCCCCTCATTCTTTACTCCTTAAAAACCCTGCCTCAACTGAGCTCGAGGCTCTCCCTGATCCAACTGCTGTGCTGGAATGGAGAGCCCAAGCTTGAGCTTTCAATAAAGGTTCGTTGCTTTTGCATATGAACTTTGACTCCTTATGGTCTCTGGGGGACTCATGATGTGGGCATAACAAATTCAAGTATCAAACAGCTCACCAACTATCTGAATGGATAGTTTCCAGTGCATTTACCATCCTGCCGAATATTTAACCAATTTTAGCCCATTTCCATCATCTGAAAAATAAAGTTTCCATCTGTTAGCAGTCAGCATATCCAAGAACAGCCACGCTGCTGTCCGCAGCACTGGCCTCCAATTGGATTCCCAGAAGCAGTACACAGTACTTGTTGCTCTCTGTCTTTTGACTAGTTTTCCTAGTGGGGATAAAGTAGCCCCTTGTTCTGATTTGCATTTCTGTGATGGCTAATGATATTGAGCATCTTTTCATGAATGGCTTATCTGGTTTTAAAGTACTTTCTCCTTTGGACTGTACTTTTAATTTTATTTCTCCTCATTTTTTTGAGGCAGGATTTTACTATGTATTTCTGGCTGGCCTGGAACTTGTTATGTAGAACAGGTTGGCCTCAAACTCATGCCTCTGCTGCATGAATACTGGGATTAAAAGTGTGTGCCACCAAGTCCAGCTACTTTCCTTTCTTGACGGTGTAGTCTTTATAAGTATAAAAAGGTTTGATTTTAATGAAGTCTGGCTTATTTTTGTCCTTTTCCTTTTAGTGCTGCATGTCCTGCCATACCTAGAAAACCAGTGCCTTACCCACGGCCAGGAAGATTTTACTGTTTTTTCTAGGCTTTTTTAATTTTATCTTTTAATTTAAGTTCAACTTGTTTTTAGTTAGATTTTGCAAATGCAAAATTGGGGACCAATTTCATCTTCTGTATTTTGATATCCAACTAATGCAGGGTCCTTCCTTCAATGACAGCACTATTTCTTGCCCACCACTGAATTGTCTG